TAAAATGCATTCCCCATGCCCACAGCCTGCATTTTGACAAAGTTCATTTTCTGAATGTAGAATCAGGGTAAGAAATCTGGGGGAAAAAATGCTCCTTAGTGTTATTCCAGACTCCTGTTTTTTTCTTGAACAGGCAGACAATACTGTAATCACTCTAAATACTTTTTATGCATGTTATAAAACTAATTTTCTCATTTTACAAAGTGTTTATTTTACTATGATGGGCAAACCGTAGACGATGACAGTAACATGACTGGGATGATTAGCTTTACCCCCTTTCAGTAAGTGTGACTGTTCACACCCTCATAATTGTTTTTCATCCTTCTTCCTGCAAACTCTTTATCAACTTGCAATAAAAGTTATTTTTAAGATTATTCCCTTATAATCATGGTGATCAAGTTAGACAATGCATTACTGTAATAATGAACTCATCGCATCTGTTACTTGCCATTTCTCCAAGAAGATGCTATTTTTTGAAATGGTATCTATGTACAGATTCTACATTTTCCTTCACAGAAATGCAATCACATCACAAGATGTTCAACAGGTGTCCTTACTTCAGAAGAAGTGTTCATAACATGTCTGAAAATAACTCATGCATTTCATAAAAACACATAATCTGTACTTCTATAACACTTTTTTGCAAGAATACTGCAAGAATACTATCTGAGTCTGTAATATCTTTGTGGGTAAGCATATGGGCGACTGTTCAGCTCATTGATCCTTGTACTGGTACCCTCTCTGGGTAAAATCATGGTCATCTTTATAACATCTTAGTACAAGAAGAAGACAGGGACTTCAAGAATACTGTAACCAATTGAAATCACAGTGGATCATATGAAGCATACAATAACCTACTTTTTCCCCAAAAACATTAAAGTTACCACTTTGTGAATGGGAAATATAAATATATCTAATACAATTTAAATTGAAATTTTATGTTCTACCTGAAATATATATCCTGCAGAAGCAGTATCTTCTACTAGTGTGGTTGTGTTTTGGTTCAGTTCTGAAAAAGAGAAAGAAAAGGGAAAAAAAAAAGAGAGAGAGAGAGAGAAAGCAACCCTGAAGCTAGCACTACTGTATCTGTATCCTATCGGAATTCCTGGAAAGTCTCTACCTAAGGTGACCATGGATAAGCTGATGAATTAATACACTTCAACCACTACTGTATCTGTATCCTATTGGAATTCCTGGAAAGTCTCTACCTAAGCTCTACCTAAGGTGACCATAGATAAGCTGATGAATTAATACACTTCAACAGTAACATCACTGCAGGTTCAGCTGCACTTTAATGGAATATATTTCTTCGCACTTACTTAGGTTTTTTTTTTTCTTGATCAACTAGTAGACTGAGGAAGTTACCAAGATTACAGTAATAAGCATAAAGGTTAGGTACCACCAAAAGATTCAGTCTTTGTCTAAAGTCCTCCCTAGTATTTAGGGACCGTTTCAGCCATTCCTCAAAGTGCTCGGGTCACTTACGCCTGGGGCATCATCTGAGCCATGAAAGGGTAATCCTCGCAACCCATCGCTGGATAGCCAGACCGACTGACGTTTGAAGACACAGACTTCTTAGAGTAAGATCTCTCTCTACTTTCTAGCCAAACTTGCCTGGAGTAGAGTCATTATAGCCCCTGTCGTCTTCCTCTGGGAGGCTCTAAGAATGTTTTCAAACGTCTGCATTTCAAAAACGCAGAACCTGTTGTCTTGATCCTTTATGTTACTTCGCTAACTCTCTACTCCATAAGACACAGCAGGGCCATGTGGCTGGGTCATTGTGAATTTCCTCTGATAGCTAAATAGGAAAGCCTATTGTTACAGCGGGATAATGCAGGAGATGGGATAACTCAGAAACTACACTGGCCCCTGCTCCTCACTGTATGGGCAGTGTCCACAGCTGCTTAACTGTTTCCAAGCATAAACACTGCCGTGTTACAGCTCTTAAACTCATAAAAGCTGCAAAACATACATTTCATTCACTCAGCCCTAAACTTTTACCACTGTGCCATAGAACTTTACCTTGTCTACTTTCAAGCCTCCTAAGCATAATCATATTAAGCACTAAGAATAAAAACTTAACTCAGAATTTGCTAGCATTTCTGAATTTGAAATCAGACCTAAACAGCATATAAATCTAATTCTAATTTATTTTATGTAAATTCAAACCACATGGAGAAAAGAAAAATCTGTCATTCTGTTTGTTTTGGGGCTTTATAACTGATATCATATTAAGTTATTTAAACTGAGCAGAATTTAATGGGAGTTATTTTTGTTCTTCTTGTGTGTTCTTTACAGAAGATGCTTCCAGAAGCGTGGTGAAGTCATTGTTTAATGTTTCCCCTGAGACTTCCAGCTATGTAATGTGATATTTTTTCATTTTCATCCAATCTTTATTATTGATGCGGACTCATATTTACACCATAAAAGCAGAACAGCTGCCTAGTGACCCTTGGGAATATACCCTTAATAAGGGAGATTTTAGTCTCCCCCCACTCCCCCGGTAGTTTACTGCATTGAGGTTGATTTGCTACGCTGAAAAACAATTCCATTTGAAAGTAAGTTACTTTCTACTCACATACTCATTGTTTCCTAAAGCTGGCTTTCTCTCTGGGGAGAAAAGGAAAGCCAGTAGAAAATCTTTCGGGACAACTATGTGGTTAAGCTAATGCAATTGCCCGCCCTAAGTTTCGCACTTCACATTTTGGAATGAAGGAAGAGAGAGGTGTAAGAACAAACCACTGAAAACAGTGTTGAGTATTATCAGGGTACCCACAAGATGTTCATCTTCTGTAGGAAACCCTGTAATTAAAATATTAACACTGACATTTCTTAAGACACATATTTTACTAGAATATTAACATCTAGGTTGCAGTAGAATTATAAAGTTTTTTGCCTGCTAAAGTGTTCATACCTCTTTCCCAGTAATTTTCAAAGTTATTGTTGAATTTTTTTACTTTACCTGTTAAACTTTTCATCTGAGAAAGCTGACTGGTATAAAATACCACATGCTGGTACAAAGTTAACCAATGATTATTATTATTATTATTAGGAATTAATTCAAGAAAATGACTCAGTTTAGGGGACTAAAACAGGTGAGCTGTAACAGGTGTACCAAGTTCTTGCTGAAAAAATGGTATCATATGATCTCCACTTTTCTAGTTTGGTATCACCCACTGACGAGTGCAGGAACTACAGGATACATCAGGAGGTACATTAGGTCAAAACAACCTCCTGTACCTCTCAAAAATGTATATAAAAACCATTCATATATAAGAGCATTCTCTTTAAAGAAGTTTGACTGAGAAAAATGGTTAATAGACTGTGCTCTAGAGGATAAAACTCTTATGACATTGAACTAATAACTGAGACGGTTCAACACTGATGAGATTTTCCTCTAGAATTAGTCCTATGATCCTATTTTCTTGGCTAGAAAGCTGCCTTCCATTAGCTGACCTGTTTTGGGTAATGGACTCTTCTATTCCTTTCTCCTCTTTTCAGTGTCTCACCTCTTATGTAAATAAAGTGTCACACCGTTCTGTGCTAGTTGTACAAAGGTGCTCAGCCCTTAATAGACTTACAACATTCATACGTCACTGCACAACATTACAGTCAAAACACTACAGAAAATCCTTGTTCACCTCATTTTGCCCACCTTTAAATCCAATTAGCTACATTAGCTCTTCTTTTCTTTTCTCATGAAATTCTAAAACATCCATCTCCTCCTTTTTTTTCTCTTCATAAGAATCAGATTGTTGTTTCTGCTTGTTTTGGACTGGAGAGCTGTTTTCTTACTAGCCTTTCTCTTGTGTTTTTAGGTTCCTTCCTTATTACATGCACGTGCAAAGAAGCAGGCATACAGCGGGGTACTAAAATGGAATTTTTTACTAACTCTTATAGCAAGACTTCAGAGTCATTGTCTTGCTTTGAACACCCTTAAACAGAGTTATTGCAATCAAGACAAATAGGAAAAAAAAGCCACCACTGTCATGACACATTACAGGCACTTAATCATAGCCATAAGGATATGTGAAAACATTTGGCCCAAATGTTGCGTTACTGCCTCTTATAAAAGGCACCATATTTAAATACTTAAGACCATATTTTAATCATTTTAAAAGATCACAGCCTGAATGATGAAAATAGGTTGACCTTCTGTTCTTGTATTTGTTTCTATGTTGAACAGTTTGGAATGGTTACAACCAACCATCTTAATTACAAGCAGAAACATACTTTCACTAATATTAACAAGATGATAGACACAAACTCTTTTCTGCAACATCTTCTTTTTAAAATTTAGTAGTTTGGCAATAACTGTTTAAACAATCTTTAGACATCAATAATATAACCACCTCAAACTGCCTCCTTATTGCAAGTTATAAGGAAGTGTTAAGGATCTTCTTATAGCTCAATCTGACTTTGAAATCCTAAACTAAAATTTCCATCAGCCAGTGAATCAACACCCCTCCAATGCTCCTTTGCTCAGTAATTAAAAACAAGAGTTGAGTATACCTCTCATTAAGGCAAGGTTAAGTCAAATCAGAACTTGAAAACTCCACTTGAAAACCCCGTGCTAGACAAATAAAAGTGTAGTTTCTTCATGCCACAATGAATTAACTACTGATAAAGATTCAAAGGTAGTGATCAAGATGGGTGGTTACCAACACGGTGTTACTCCCTACAGGTCAGTTCTCAACACACTTGAGAACAACCTGGGTTTACTTTGTATTGCTCTTAAAATGGATATAAATAAGGAAAAGCCATAACCAGCGGGTCCTGATAGCTGCAAGACATTATCCATATGGCCTATGCCCAGAAAAAGGAACGTGTGACACCACAAGGCACTCCTGACACACTATGGATTGCAAGGATATGACCTACAGCTAGCACCAGGAAAAGGTGCCAGGATTCTGGAGCAGCAGCTCTGGAGTACGGGATGAAGAAGGTTTTAAACACCGGGAAGAACAAATAAAGGAAACGACTGAGGACCATAAACCCTAATGACGTGCGAGAGGTGAGGAGAAGCAGCACGTGCCTTGGTGAGAGGGTGACAAACAAGGTATCCCCAGGGGACACCAAGGCAGGGACGAGGGGGACACCCAGCAGCAGCACACAGGAGACCAGGCTGTGTGGAAATCCAAGAGAAACCTTCCCTTCCTCATACTGCAGGATGGTAAAGGCACATGGAGGTGCCACTTGAATTAAAAATAAGTGACCTTATACTTGGTGGAACAATTTACTAGGTCTACCTGCGTGACTCTATCATCAAAGACAGCTTGCCAAGATGGAAGAGTTAAAAGAAAAAAGCCACAAAAGCTGATTGCAAAATATCTGCAAGGTTCACTGGAAGAAGACCGAAAAAGCTCTCAAACTTTGCTGTCTCCAACCCTCGCCGGCCACGCCGGACGCCGCCCTGCCCGCAGGAC